GTTGACTACATCTCTAGATGCCTCACCTCTCAACGGATAAAGGTAGAAAATTAAAGACCTGGTGGCTTGCTACAGGGTCTTCTGATCCCCAAATAGAAATGGGAGCATGTGACTATGAACTTTGTTACCAGATTTCCCAGGACTTATTTTGGTTGAAATCTTATCTAGGTCATCGTGGATAGGCTTACCAAGACTGCCCTTTCTTGCCTATTCAAACCACTAACTCCACCAGTAAGTTAGCTCGCCTATACGTTGATGAAATTTTTTAACTTCATAGAGTTCCCTTATCTATTGTGTCCGACCACGATTCCCAGTTCACTTCTCACTTTTGGGACAGCTTCCAAGAAGCTCTAGGGACTAGGTTGTACTTCAGCACTGCTTATCATCCCCAAACGAATGGTCAGTCAGAACGTACAATCCAAACATTGGAAGACATATTGCATACTTGCGTTCTTGACTTCGGTGATAACTGGTATGGGTATCTTCCTCTTTGTGAATTCACTTATAATAACAGTTATCATTCCAGTATCGATATGGTCCCGTATGAAGCATCATATGGAAGGCCATGTCGTTCCCCTACTTGTTGGAGTGAAGTCGGGAACTAGCGGCACTTAGGACCAGACTTCACTCAGGAGACCATTGAGAAGGTCGTAATCATCCACAATAACTTAGCAACTGCTCAAAGTTGCCAAAAGAGTTATGCTGACAATCGTAGGTGACCCTTGGAGTTTGTCGTGGGAGATCAAGTTTTTCTGAAAATTTACCCCTATAAAGGCAAGATGAAGTTTGGAAAGAGATGGAAGTTGAGCCCTCGTTATCTGGGACATTTTTCGATCATCGAGCGCATTGGACCCATGGTATACTGTCTCACTCTATCTGGAGAGTTCGCAAGTCTGCATGATGTCTTTCACGTCTCGATGCTCAAGAGGTACCACCATGATCCTTCTCATATTATTCCTCGCGATGACTTGCAGGTACAGGCTAACATGACTTATGAGGAGATTCATGTGGAGATTCTTGGGTGGACTGATGAGGTCTTGCGTAACAAGACAATTCCCATGGTGAAGGTACAATGGCAGCATCTTACCTCAGAAGAAGCAACGTGGGAGTTGGAGGGCAAGATGAAGGAAAAGTATTCGGACTCATTTGAGATAAATTTGGGGACAAAATTTTTTAAGGTGAGGGGGATGTAACATCCTGCCTATCACTGTGCTTAAATAATTTGGAAAACTCTATTTATTTGGACCTTTGGCCACATTAAACTTAATTAATTTATTATGCTTAATATTTATCATGATTTATAAATCTAGTTAATTCTTATTTATTTTGTTTTTATTTAAATTTATTTATTTTTATTTAATTTTAAATTTTATTATTTAATTTTGCGTTTAACTTATTCAAATTAATTATAAAAAATTGAGAGAAATCGGAAAAAAATGGCAAAACATAAAGAAATCCTGTGGGGACACAGATTACCCGCGCGGATGCTGGACACTGCTCGCGCGTGCATGCATGCACAGCAGCCATAGGACGTGCGCACAACACGCACGTCCCATCCGAACGCACGCATGCACGTCCCTTCCGCGTGCACGACATGGGATCAGGACCTGCGTGCGTCTTGTCAGGGGCAGACGAGTCGTCCACGCATCACCTCGCATGCGGACAGACGCCGCACACTGTGCACGCACCATCTGCGAAGCAGGCATGCGCAGATAGGCCCTGTGCACCTGAGGCCTGCACATAATAGGCCTGCAAGCGGCACCCATCGCGCCTAGGCCTTGCGTGCACGACATGAGGCGTGCACGCCTACGGCGTGCCACCCGAGACACTGCCACCTCAGGTAGTGTGCCGCTGTCGCCTAGGGCGATGTGCCACCATCCCCGATGGAGGAGACCCTCCTCCCTCAGTTTTCGTGCCGAGCATTTTTTTTCCTCTTTCTTCACCGAATTTTGCCACTTGGCACAAATCCAATCTAAAATTTTCTAAATTGCCCTTCCACTGCCATTTCTTTCCACACTTCCATTCTTCAATTTTTTAAGATTTAGAGAGAGAAAGAGATAGTAGTCTAGTGAAAGAAGAAGAGAAAGAAAGGAGAATGGTGAATGAAAAAACATCAAGGTCTCGGTAAGAAATCTAGTATTTCTTTCAATATCTTAAGGAGTATTTTTTTTAGATAAACTAATTTAATACGATTATAATTTTACCTTTTTTATGCTTCTGTGTTCAGATGAGTTGAATTATTCTTGTTTTCAAGCATGCTATGTGAACTGAAGACACTTAATGAATTGCATGTGATAAACTAGTATAACTACCTGGTAAAAAAAATAAAAAGTACAAAAGAAAAGAAAAAGAGAAAAGTGGAATGAAGTCTGTATAGTCCGAAGTGTATCTGTATTGACATGCATATTGCATCAAGTGTCTCATTAGGTTTTTTATCTCTGAGGGATATCTGTTCCCCTTACCCTTCGGGGTATCTATTTTTCCGTTCCTATCTAGTCTAGAAAGACGTGAGAGGACCACTCCAGTTGATGACGGTGTACCCTCTGACGAGAGTGGTATCACATTATCTATAGAGGTCATCCGTGGCTAAGTAATGTCGTGACTATAGATATCTGTTAGGGCCACTATGGCTAGTACAGTCATCACCGTAGATCGTACCATGATTTGGCTACCTGAAAATGGGACTGAGCAAATTGACGTATCTATATCTGATCTAGTCATTCCACTTGAATAGTTAGAAATCTGTATCTGCCCTTAGAGATGAAAGTTGTAATGACTTCACGAAGCATGACATGAAAATTTGAGTATTTCATGATTTATTTAATTTTCTCTATTATCTGGCATGATGTATGTTTGGTTGTCTATATTAACACACTTTTTCTTAATAAATAAATTATTTTCATAATGTGAGATAGGTAAATGAGGAGGTTAAATGGTAAACTCTTAAGTTAAAATAATTAACTTTTGAAACCTTACGATGTTAATTTAATACTTTTTTTCTTACTGAGCATATAAAACTCACTCTTTCCATGCTTTCGCTCCCCCCGTCCTCCCCTGCCCCAGATAAGGAAGAAAGTGAGGAACTACAGGCTGACCTACTCTTGGAAATCTATAAGGATCCCGTGGATCTATAAGTCTGAGTGCATGATTATTCCTGCACTCTAATGAGTCTAATAACATAGGGAAATGAGTGGTCCTCATGTTTTGATTTGTATTTTACAATCACTTTTGGTCCAAGTATATGTATGTATTGGAACTCATATATATTTGTAAGAGATTTGTAATAATTTTATTTCACTACATAAATTTTATCATGTACTTGTTATTTTATATTTGTATCTGACACTCATTTGTCTTAAATAGCACTTGGAATGTCACAGAGACCATCACTTCCAACAATGTCATCATTTGTAGAAAACCTAGGGCCAACCAATTGTGTTTTCTAGAAAGGTACAAGCATATCCAAATATGAAAAGAACTAAGAAATATAAATATCTCTGCAAAACCGTTTTGTAACTACAAAGGACCCCTAATCATGGATTTCGTAATTCATGAATTGAAATGTTAATAAACTTGGACTAAGGCACCCTTAAAACAATTGACCTTGATGAGTTGAGGACCAGGATGACTTATTAGGGAGACTAATAGTTGTGGATATTGAGTTACTTGAAGAAAGAGAACTAGTTTTGATTTAGGACACCAAAACCGTTTTCTAAATGCTCTCAAATTAATTTTCGAAAGTCAGACAGCATGCATAATTAGGGAAAGTAAAGAGTCTTAATTTTAATTGGTGGAGGTAAATAACTTATCTTAAAAGTAAATAGAGTGATCTTAAGTGGATCCCTTCTAATGTCCAAAAGCAACATTGATCGATAATTATTTTGGGAGATAAAAAAATTTTATATCTAGGCGAAATTGATTCAAAAATGAATAGTGAATTATGGTATCGAAGAATCCTTTAACTTGATGTGATAAGGAGCACTTTAGATCTAGTATTGAGCTTATACAATGATTGTTGTTGTTGAAATCCTTTCAATAAAATACAAACTTGGAAACGTGATGGAAATTAGTTAATTTAGAAGGGGTATATAATTCAATTGATGAATTCTGGGAAGTACAAATTTAGAGAACCAAATTTTTAAGAGAGGATGATGTAACATCTCGCAAATAGAATACGCGACCTTCAAGGTGTTTTTGGGAGAATTTATCAGAGAATGAAATATCGGAAGGATATTAAAATTTTCAAACGATTTAGTTTAAATTTAAAATTCCTGAGAATTTAAAATAAGTATCCGAGAACAAATAGTTAACCCGTAATCCGAGAATTAAAGAGCAAGTACAATGTTCCGATAGAAATTTAATAAAAATAATTTTTAAATTTTTCAAAATAGATCAAATTTTCAAAAAAAAAAATTAATTTAATCTATCTTAGAAGAAATTTAAATTTCTCCAGGAAATAATTTTAAATTTCAAAATGTTAAAAAAATAAAAGAAATTTCACATGAGGGTCAAATTGAAAAAGATTAAAGAAATTAGGGAAAACATGTTATTTAAAAAGGACCAAAAAGGAAAAAATTAAATTTCTAACTTTTTTGTATTCCCCAGAGGACTTGCTTGATCTTAAAATGGGAATAAAAATTGAATGGTTGAAAAAATGTTTAAAATTGTTTATTTCTTATTAAATGTCTTTTCCAATCCATTAAGTGCTGATTTTAAAAAATTAAAAAATATATTTAGAACTCTGATAATTATGAAGATTCTTCAATTTCTTCAAAAATATGTGGCATATTTGAATTCAGATTACTCAAAGTTTGACCACAATCTTCTGTTTATCTTCCGTGTATTTCTAGTTTAACGTTGCCGCCACAGACACGACCCATTACTGGTAGCAATAAGCATTTCATGTTCAAATTTCAACTGATTTAGAAATGGCTATTAGAATTCCAGTCACGGAAATAGATTGCACAACAACAAACCATACCTTACTCAAAACAGAAGACTAGAGTAAAATTTCTATGTACTGTGCATTTCTAGATCAGAGAAGATTAATCGAGTTCTTTAAATTTATCTACAAAACACCATCCTCTCTATTTAATCATCCTGAGGATCAGCAAAGGTTGAAGAACAACAACTCATCTCCTATATGCTGTGTTGAATTCCAAAATAAAAAAATTTAAGAAAAAAAAAATGCATATATTAACAATCAAAATCCTTCAACACTTGGCCTCCGAACTGTCGAAGATGATTTTTGACTTTCTTGCCTCTCAAGTTCCTCAAGTGAAAGAACTGATGAACAAGCTCGTGGTGGGAGTGACAACGGCAGTCCATGAGGTCTTGGAGGAGAAACAGACGGTCGACTTCTTGATGGTGGAGATGGAGAGAAACTTAACCTTGGTGCTGGGGTCACTATTCCGTTAAGACTAGGAGATCTTGACATCTGTTTTCCAGAAATAAGTGCAGGCTCTTGCAGGGGGAACCGGCAGGAGTATTTCATATCTTGTATGAATTTGAGACGTTCAACAATTGTTCTCATGGTCGGCCTTTCTGATGGATCTTTTTGAAGACATCTTTGGGCAATGTCAGCTACTGCACGTGCTGCTTTGGCTGGAAAGCGGCCTTTCAGAAGAGGATCCATGATGAGAGATAGTCGGCAATCATCAGCCAGGAAAGGCTTACTCCATTTAACCAAGTTCCATTCTTCCTTGGGATGACGACTGTCAAGATTCTTCTTCCCAGTAAGTAGTTCAAGAAGAACAATCCCGAAGCTCCACACATTACTCTTTGGAGTCAGCAGTCCTCTTTCTAACGTTTCAACTGAAAGGTTTGCTAAAGCCTGAAAAAAATTAACGAAAAAGAAATTATTAAGGCACAGGGAATACTGGGTTTTGGTAATAAACAATTAAAAAACCATTTCCAGGCAAAACTTCTCACACCCATTTTCCAGGCTGTTGAAAACAAACATGGAGATCAACCTCTCCATTTTTGCTAGTAAGTTATCATGAATCATGGTTTATGTTAGTGAGTGAAATTAAATCCATCTGAAGCCAAAACAGATCTGAGCCACTCTGCAGTTTGTTGGTAATAAAATTGAAGATAAGCTTTCAATTGTTGCTTGTAATTTCATCTAGGTAATGGACAATCAGATCTATACTTAGCCAAACTTTTAATGCACCCATTTTGCAATTTTTCAGCACCAAATCCTGACAACTTTTATAACGTGAGAACTTACAACTGAACTATTAGAGATCTCTGCTTCTGGAATATGACCCACACAACCATAACCTGAAAGCTTTGCACTAAAATCCTTATCAATTTGTATGTTGGCAGTTGAAAATTCATTGTACATTGCCTGTTAATTAAGACAAACAAACAAACAAAATTCTGATCAGAAAATCACTTAAAGTTTTTCATCTTCAAGTACTGCCAAAAATGAGAAGTATCATACCTGGAAAGGTCCTTCCTCATGCAAGAAAGTAAGACCTTGTGCAGCGCATAAAGCAATCTTCATTCTGGTGTTCCAATCAACGAGTGGCCCATCTGATCTCCCATATAGTAAGCGGTCCAAGCTCCCATGAAACAGCCTCTCATAGATCAGCATTCTTTGCTCTGAACTATCTCGTGCATGATAACCTAGCAACTTACATAGGTTTGGATGTTGCAGAGATGCAAGTGTGTTAACCTCATTGATGAACTCCTTCAAACCCTGAAAAAACAAGGTAAAATTGGGGATCAGGAATTATAACAATGCAACACGAGTTTTTGTACATCGAAGTTATCCAGCAACAGCAAAACTAACAACGTATCATCAAGTTTACAAATACCACTACTATGGCAAATAAGTATAAACTAGAAAAGATGAAATCACTATTGGAACAGGAATGTTTGAGAAAGTGGTAGAAGCAAACTCAGGCTAGAAGAAAGAGAGAGCAGAAAGATCAGCACCTTCCCGCATCTCTGTTGAGAATAGAGTTGAATTTTCTACAGTAATTTTACAGCATATAAAAAAATATTTTATATTTCAAGCCTAAACTATTTTACATCAACCAAAACTTAAACCACATAAGCAATTACAGAGAAAAGATGATACTCCATTATGTTAATTATCGTAAATAATTAACATGAGAACATAGCTAAAACTGAGCAAAACAGAAGAACTCCAAGCAACAGAACAGCTATGGTAATACCAGAGAGAGAACAGCGAAGTAAACAGCAAACAATTTCCTTATTCTTCATTGGAAAATTGAGATTGCTTCATTGGGAGAGAAGCACAACTAAAAGATGACAACAAGAATGAAGTAGAAAAGATAAGTAATACAGACAGACCATGAAAATACAGCTTGTAAACCATGTATCACCTGAGAGGATGGGTGAAGGCGAGTAACAGTCGCCT